GTACAACCACAGGTTCTACCAGTTGCAGGACAATGAACTTGTTAATCACTTGCTTGGGAGGACCAAAGACCTGACATGGCAATGCCAGATCTATGTACAGTCATTGCTCCAGGAAGCTTCCATTGAAAGAGTAGTGGCTACATTGAAGGTCCAAGTCCAGCAGAACACAATTGGTTGCTAGGTGTGTGTTTGGACCTGCAATCCATCACTATAGGCACAGATGCAGGGAATCAATAGCAAAGCGAGAGAGGGACAAAGCAACTTGGCCTTCCTCCCATTACCCCTTCTCTTCAAGGACACCCACCGGGAAGAGAGGCACCAGCCAGGCACCCCAGAGCTGCCCTGCCTTTCTACCTCCCCTCTGCCATTGACCCAATCACCTCCAGTAGGTTAGGCAAAGGAGAAATGCACTTGTGCAGGAGACCTGCAGCACCTTTAAGAACCTTTGAACCCCATACCATCAAAAGACATCTGCCAAAGTCATTACAATTAACAAGACATGGCATCAGTACCACCACAGCTGTAGATGTCAGAGCAGTGCCTAGTGGTAGGCAAAGAAGGAAGAGATAGGAGGCACCTGTGTGATATGGCTATTTATTCAATATCTATAGTTTGGACTTCTATAAATAAATGCTCATTTGCACATAGGTATACCACAAGGTGCCAGCATGGCTGGATGAATGGTCTTCCAGCTACAGATCATTTATTATTTCACATCATCCTCAATATGAGTGCCTCATGTTGTTCTCATTACCTAGAGAAGGTTAGACCTATGTGCGGGCTCTGCAACTAATTATAGGCACAGTGGATTGTTGAGTAAAGAAACATGAAGGAGATTGGGCCTGTATTCACTACATTGCAGGAAAGAAGAGACTATGTGAGGCATAAAGAAAATCTGACAAGGCTCTGCAGAATAGAGGCAGAAAAGATCTTTTCCCTGACTCAGTCTCCATAGCCAGAGAAAACACTCTCAGGATAAGAGGTAGGCAATACATCACCAATATGAAAAGGACTTCATTCTCTCAGGGGGTTGGGAAGGTTTGGAATTGTCCCATCCATTGAATAGTGGTGGTGTATTCACTGAATATGCTCACCTAATCATAGAAACAGGCCCTTTGGCCCAACAAGTCCACACTGACCCTTGGAGCATCCCACCCAAGCCCATCCCCTTATAACCCACACATCCCTGAACACTATGGGTAACTTAGCATGGCCAAACCGTCTAGCTTGCATATCTTTGGACTGTGGGAGGAAACCCACACAGACATGGGGAGAATGTGCAAACTCCAAACAGACAGTTGCCCAAGGGTGGAATTGAACCTGGGTCCCTGGCACTGTGAGGCAGCAGTGCTAACCACTGAGCCACCGTGCCACCCTTAATATGATGACAGACTTCCAGAAGAGAAAAATCTCCACAGCAATAGGGATACTAAGGGAATAGGGTGATAGGTTACGACAGCCATGGTAAAAGACAGCTGTGGAGAACACTATACAGTCTGATTGGCCAAATCCTGCTTCTTTGTCCTCACTCTATATGAACCGAACGGAATTGAAATGAATTAGCTTTATTGTCACATGTCCTCAAATGAGTACAGTGAAAAGTTTACAAGTCGCCACTTACAGCGCCATCTTAGGTACAAGACACCTAAATATTTGGTATAAAATAGAGAAAAAGTAATAAATAAAAAGTCTATCATAAGAATAAAAAGGAAAAAAGATTTTTAAAAAGTATTCGATTTACAGTCCTTCCACACCTCAACGGGGCACTACGTTTGTCCGTCTCTGTGGTGTAATTAGTTTGTGCAATCGACTGTTAACCAAAGGATTGGTGGCTCAAGACCACCTGGGGAACAAAGCAATTGTTGTTTGGGTGGCACGGTGGCTCAGTGGCTAGCATTGCTGCCTCACAGCACCAGGGACCCAGGTTCAATTCCAGCCTCAGGTGACTGTCTGTGCGGAGTTTGCACGCTCTCCCAGTGCCTGCATAGGTTTCCTCTGGTTTCCTCCCACAGTCCAAAGATGTGCAGGCTAGGTGGATTGGCCATGCTAAATTGCCCGTAGTGTTCAGGGATGTGTAGATTAGGTGGGTTATAGGGGGATGGGTCTGGGTGTGATGCTCTGAGGTCAGTGTGGACTTGTTGGGCCAAAGTTTCCACACTGTAGGAATTCTATGATCTATGACCACTCCATGCCAGCACCTAGCCTCCAGAGCACACCAGGCTTTGAAATAGAGACCTCACCTCCAGTCCACAAAAGGACTTCACCTCCTCACAACAACCTCCAGTCCACAAGGAGCCTCACCTACCCACAACAGGGGCTCATCTCCTCACAATGGGCTCTAGTCTGGGGACTCACCTCCCCGTGACATCCTCCAGTCTGCCAGAGACCTTGCTTCTGATTCCAACAGAGTAAGCTTGTTTTTAAAAGTTTGGTAAACATGAACAAAAAGCGAACAAAGAAAAATAGATATGTCCTTATAAAATTCTCAGGAAAGCTTAACACACATCTGCAGTATGAGCAATCATGGTCCACATGGAGATTTATGCAGTATTGGGCTTCTCTCCATTGTCCATAGGAGGACTCATCCCTACTGTCATCAGCTAGGTATACTAGGAGTAGCCCTCATCTACCAGTGGCCAGTCCTATAATCAAGCAGAGACATTAATAACTACAACCATCGGAGAGTGTTCCAGAATATGGAAATTGTGTGAACTCCCTGGATCATGTGCACAAGCCTGGAATATTTGGCTGGTATAGTCACATTTTAGTTGCACATTCATGGACTGGAATCCCATTCTGTAGGCAACAAACAGCTGGAATTTTAATGACAATCTACAGTATTCTTGAAGCCATGGGAAACTGGCAATTACAACAAATGCCACTGGCCTGCCTGCCTGCCTTTCTGCATCCAACGGAAGCCTCACTAATCATGGCCTCTTCAGAAGAGAGCATCAGTGACCTCCCAAAAACAGTTGAGAGTGGCTGACTAGAAGATACTACAGGAATCCCTAGTGGAGCCCTGGAATGAACAATTGGCAGAAAAACTCAGGACCACGGTGACCTTCAGAGCAGCCTGAATGCAACTGCCTCTCAGTCCTTCCAGTTGCAGGTCATCTTCCAAAAGTAAATTTCCATAGGACACATCCTTCAGCCCACTCTGAGTCACTTCCTGCATTTCATTCAGGCAACTGAAGGTAGGTGCAGTGCAGCACTCCTGTACATTCTGTTTTAGGGCAATGCTCATAATCACCATTGCACCCGGGTGCCTGGAGCTTACCCTAGCACAGGCGGTGGCTGCTGGTGCTGTTCCTCTATCGTTCAGCGATTGTACCTCCTCAGCTGTGTGATGGCCAGGTTTGTCCCATGCCACGGCAGTATTGTCTTCAGGTGATCTACCAGTGATCCATCTAGGCAGCACATTATTTTAAAACCTTCCCTCCAGCCCTGCTCCATTAACCCCTGCAGAGCCCTGAACCTTGGATATGTCTCGCCCTGGTCTCCTCCTTACTCCACCATCGTGACCTTTTCACAGCAAGACATTCATGTGAATGGTGGCATTGCCCATGGCTGGGGTTACTTGAAGGGCATTTATGCGTTTTCCTGAAAGCAATAATGAGATTCCCTCAGTAAGTTCGAACCCCTATCATTCTAGCCTTGCCCTGGCATCACTAACCTGCCACTGACCCATCCTCTGCCTTGAGAAAACTGGAAGTCTCAGTCCTGTAAAAGGTTACCTACCACCACCTGAGCCCCTTACAGTTTGCAGCTCTCTCCCTATATTCCATCCATGTCTTGGACATCACAAGATGCCCATTAGCCCACAATGTATGGTGGTTCCATGTCTTTGTGGGATCTCACTGAAATGCAACCATCCTCCCTGCTGTTAGTTTTTAAAACCCTGAAAGTACTTTGTTTCTGTCTGCTGACACTGAATCACTTTTTATTTGATTTTATTTTTAGGAAAGACAGATGGATGCCTCACAAACCAGGCAGCACCAAAGGTGTAGTGTGCCCATCTGCCAGAACCCCCAGGCATATTCCTTGTTTTGGCAAATGCCTAGTACATGCAGAGACTTTGATTTCAAATGGAAATAGACATTAACAAAAATAAAAACTTTATGTCACAAGCATGATATGTAAAGGTTTTACTAGTCGTGTTGCTGTGAATGGCTATCCAAAAGTGTCCAACTTCAGCATCATCCTATGGAAGAATTTATGAAAGAAAACTCGCCAAGGTGATCAATAGATAGCAATGTCTAACTGTCTGCATCCACTAAAGCTATCTACAGGTACCGGTACGGCCATCTGGCAAAGACCATAGGCATCCATCTTCATTGGCTTTTGATCAGCAAGTAGTCAGATGCAGAGCTGTGCCATCTGTCGCATGTACAACTGGTTATAAAATGAAATAAATGCCTGGAACAGCCAATGACCATTGCAATTTGCTGCAGCCTCAAAACATGCTTCTACTTTCTTCTAGGCATTCTGCTAGCCTACTTGGATGATGCATTCGAGTGGTAAATGGGGCCGTGATGCACACAATCACCTCATACAGCCACTACCATTTTGGCAGCCAACAAATGAAATGGATGCTGGGTTGATCCATCACTTGGCTACAGAAACATGCTCATAGATTGTATATTTACATAGCATTCCTTGTTTGTCTCCTTTTTCAAACTTAGTAAAGGGTGCCAATGGGTTGGAGTAACTGAGGAGCTTTTCCAAAACTGTAAGGAGTTCCCCTATTCAGCCACTCCCTTGATTTGATGACATCACATTTAAATTTCAACTATATATAAATTTTCCACTTCCAGCACCTATCCAAATCTGCATTTGGAGCTAAGTGTAATTGTTATACTGAACTTACCTTTAGAAGATTATGTAGAAAGTGTACACTTCACCTGTATTGAGATATGCACCTACTTAAAACCATTTGCCGCATTGCTTAGCCAGATATTATGGTTTATTTAATAAATGCTGCAAGAAGCTAGCCCACTTACCTCTTGATAAATATCAATATGATTCCCATTGAGGACTTGTTTAGAGCATGTAGGAAATTCTCTAATGCAGCAGGAGTCAGGAGGCCACTCCATTTCTGTCATTTCCAACCAATCTGAAAAGTATGCCACTCCGCAACACTTGAACTGGAAAAAAGTAAAATTGGCAACGCTCTAAGCTTCTTGAAATGTTTCGAATAAATTTTATACCCAATGATATTTTTTTAACTGTGTGAAACAGAATGCTACATATTTTGTTTCACATAAAACAAACTTCTCAATTGTTATAAAAGTTTGTATTCAAGGAACAGCAGGGAGTTTCTGATACCCACTGCCAACAATTTATTCTTAAACTAAAATAAATTATCTCATTATTTATCACATTAGTGTTTATGGGAGCTTGGTGTGTGCAAAATTGCATTCCCTAGTACCCCAAATGCAACAGTAACTTCAAGTGATTCATTACGGAATCAGAATGATTGCAGCAGAGAGAAGTTTCAGCAGATCTGTTCTGTCCATTTTGGACAAGCAACCAGGCTAGTCCCAGTCCCCATTCATTTCCCTGTTCCAGTGCAACTTTTTTTCTCTTCAGATAATTATCCTGCAATGGGAACAGTTTCCCATTATCTTCTCATATCACTCACAATTTTGAAAACTTCTATCAACTCTCCTTTCATCCTTTTCTTCTCATGTTGAGCAGCCTGAGCTTCCCTAATCTTCCCTAATCCATGGAACTGAAGACCCTCAGTTTTTGGAATACTCCTCAATTCTTTTCTGCACTCTAATGCCTTCACATCATTATTAAAGTGTAGTGGCCAGAATTGGGCAGAAAATACTCTGAGGCCAAACCAGTGCTTTACAAATGCTCACTATCGGTGCCTTGTTTTTATACTCTCTGCCCTATTTACATTGTCCAAGATCTCACATGCATTGTACTGCATTCTCAATCTGGCCTGCACAGTCAAAGATTTGTGCACACATACCTCTTTGTCCCTTTGATTCAACCAGCCTGTCTATGTCCCCTTAAACTCTATCAATCTCCTTCTCACAGTTCATAATATTTCAAAGATTTGGGTCATCTACAAATTTTGAAACGTGCACTGCACTCCCAAGACTAGGTCATTAATATAGATCAAGAAAAATAATGGTCCGAATCCCTACTCCTGTGTACTCCCCAAGACACTTTCCTCCAATCTATAAAAGAAAGTTTGCAACTGCTAGTTCCTAAATCATTCAATAGACTTTGATTTTGTGCTGCCACTGTCCTTTTCATTCCATTGGCTTTAACTTTGCTGACAAACCTGTTTTACTGCACTTTATCAAACACATCTTGGAAGTTGTGTACATCAGTTATTCCTTCCAAACCTCTTCCAAAGGCTCACTGCTCACCCATTTTTCTATTGTTCAGCTCATTAGGTCATTTTTAAAATCAAAGGAGCTACGAGAGTTCAATTTGTTGTTTTAACACCATAGCCTCGGAAAAATTCATAATTTGTAAACCTCTACTTAAATATTTTACAGCAAATGTGATGTGAAGTTGATAGAAAGAAGCCACTCATTCAAAACCATAGGGAAAACATATCTGATTTAGTTTTCCGTCATCAAGTTAATCGAATTCTAAACTCAGATTTTAAAGGTTGCATTGTCATTTTCAAATCCCTTCATGGTTTCATCCCTCTCTATCTCTCCAATCTTCTCCAGGCTGAACCCCATGTGATACTCTGAACTCCTCTAAGATACCTCCTGGTGTCTTAACCTCTTATTATATGTGCTCCATCTTGGTGACTATACCATCAGGTGCCAAGGATCTAACTCTGGAAATCTTTCCCAGAAGGTTTTTCACCTCTCAATGTTTCTTTTCTTTTTTTAAAAAATGCATCTTAAAACCATCTACCCCAATATCTCCTTATGTGGCTCACTATCAAGTTTTGTTTTGTAAAGCTCCTTTAAACAGTTTATTCTATTGAAGATGGTATTGTTGGAGTTGAAAACAAGTGAATAGTTTTCAGTCTTTCCTTTTTCCACTTAACTCTTCCATAAATACAAAATATGATTACGGCTTTGAGAGAATGTAATAACAATGCTTTCGAGTTTTAAAAAAAAACATCATTTGCCCATAAAAGACACATATCAGTTGTATTCCAATTAATCATTCACTCATAAATTGAACATAAAAAGAATGCAAAATGATTCACAAAAGCACTTCTTATAAAAGATATCAAATTTCTAAAATCTGCTTCTAGATTCCATTACCATAAAATAATTCTCATTTTGTTTTCTGCTCAGTGCTCTTCCAAATTGATAGTAATGGATGTGCCATTAGCAGGCAGCACAATCCAGGCAGAATATGTAATTTATAAAGTATATAAATACATACATCACTAAAGAATATTGCATTCCACCACAGAAGCGAACTTAGCGGTCATACTGATAGATTAATGTCAAGTTGTAAAATCTACCTCCCTCTGAAAGAAATTCCAGGCATGGGTTAACCACTGGTACCTGGCCATACCATAATGAGACATTCTAGTCTTCAGCTCAAGCACATCAGACCTTTGAATGGAGACCTGAAATATAGAATGACCTCTTAGTAACAATATTATAATTAAACTGTGACTTTTAGGATTAGTATGGCAAAGTGTAAAATATCAACCACATAGCACATACCAACGCCTTTATAAAAAGTTCAATGATGTCTACTCCAGATTATTATGATATATGTGAACCAGAACGTGTGTGTTGCAGGCACTAGGTTTAGGAGCACACATTTATTAGTCTATGCTTAATAACAGGCATTGTCTTTGAAAATTGCCATCGCTTTACTCACCTGCCATCCTCTTCATGTAGAGGGCACATTACCATGACCCGTTTAAAGTGTCCCCTTCCAGGGCATTTAGTTCCCTCCTATTCATTACGAAGTACAACCCTACTGCTTGAAATTGTCCTTCCAAGAGGGGCAATCAGTGATCCAACACAACAAATTTCACCCCAGACTTGAATTGCCTGCTTTCCCCAGGATTCAATAGACTGCCCTCCTGACCATTACTGACCAAACCACCAGGACGGAATTGGTAAGACAGCCCAAACAGACCACAAACTGATGTCTCAAAGTACTCTAATTGGTCTACTCATAAGCCACGAAATACTTGCAGTTGACCCGCAGGGTTGACTGTGGCCCAAACCCTGGACTGCAACGACACAATCCTCAGACTCTGGTAGAATTAAATGTCTGAATGACCATGACCAATGTCCTGAGCTGGAATAGGATGAGCCCCTGACTGCGTGTGATAGTATCCCTGACTGACTGTTGCCCTCTTCACTTCATTGAGTACTGCTTCCCTCTGATTTTCACAAATAACTATTTTCTTCAAGTACATGCAGTGCATTTGCCACATAAACTGCTGGCACATGCTGTGGGTCTCATGTTGACATTTTATAATGCCATTCAATGACATGTTCACCCCCCTATCTGACCAGTGGGTTGACTGTTCAGTGCTTTCAGCCATCACAAGTTGCCTGCCACTTCCTCTGCACTAAAAAGCAATGCAAGCCAAAGATCACTAGTCTGTAACTGAGCACTGAAGACATTGTCTTCTGAGCGCACAATGTGACCTTCACATTGGCTGTCAGCCTGTAAGTCAGTGCTGAAGTTACGAAGAAACAAAAACAGAAATTGCTGGAGAAACTCAGCAGGTCTGGCAACATCTCTGGAAAGAAAGCAGAATTAACATTTAACAAGTTCAGTGACCTCTCTTCAGAGCTGATAGTAGCTAGGAAAAGGTGGTACACATGCTGATGACAGGAGGTATGGGCTAAGAAAACAACGTGAAATAGAGAGGGACTAGCAGCCTTCAAATTATGTGCAAAATGAGTAAATGCTAAGAAATCAAGTTGAAAACCATTAGATGACTGTGTGGGTATAAGCTGCACGGATGGATGTGTCTTCTTGTACACAAAATTAACTGACAGTATCATGCAAGTCATAGGTGACCCTGAGCTCCAAAGTAAAATACTGAAGAGCTGAGGAGTGAGAGAGTTGGACTGAAAGCAAGTGCGATGATGAGGCAAGGCTGGTGGTTTGCTGATTTGTGCGCATGTAAGGTCATGGAGGATGGTGACCATGACGAATGCAAGGGCATCTAAAGAGGAGATTGCAAGATGACTAGGACAAAGCTGCAACCACCAGGAACCCACTCTGAATTAATTGTTGGGAATTTGCACCTTTTAGTTTCTCAATGGAAGACAATAAAATAAGTGGGGGAAGAAATAGAGTTAATGGGAGTTTTAATTAAATGCAAACACATGGAAATAAGGGAGTCATCACTCAAGGGGAAGATTCTGAAGTTTGAAGTTACCATTTAAGCCTCAAGGTGAAAACTTTTCTTGACAACAAAAATCTGATTCTTTTTTCATTCTTGAAGTATTTAACCACGTTTCTTGTCATTACTCTTGCTACATCAAGGAGGGGAAAATTCCACCTCATGTCAAAGACTGAATTGACAGCATGTATATTTAAGGCCACGATTCTCCATATAGGAAATGTTCACTTCCTGTATGTCATCACAGAAAGGTATCAGAGAAAGGTAACTGTTGAGTTACTCCTGCAAGTCTAGAGGGTCTCAACTTCTTATTATCAATAAGATAATAGTCCTGTAAGGGACATGACAATAGGTTGATTGCCGTCTCCCCGCTCATGTAATAAGGAGAATATAACTGAAAAGGAAAAAATAAATCCTAATTTTGAGTTGTCTGTCAAAAGCCTGGGGTGATTTGCTTTCTGATTTGCCAACTTGTGTTTGGCATCTGCTCAATAACTCCACCAGATGGCATAAATGAGAACAGAAGGTTACTGTGTGAGAAATCAGTGTAAACATATGCAGTGTAACTGCACACTGCATTAGCTAGACACTGCATGCTGATGACATCTCGAAACAGATTTTAGATTTTATGATAAATATTTTGTTATTTATTTTATGACCATTTTACATTCAATTGTATGAATAACTAAATAGATTGTGAAAGAAAGTATTTGCTAATTGGTAATTTGTTTAAATTCACAATTCACAGAAATATCTACGCTAATTTCAGCATGGCACTTTTTCTGGCAAAGGTCTTAACGGTATTTACTGGATATATTTAATATAAAAACACTACTTATTACATTCCAAAATTTCTTGTAAGTAAAACAAAAACTGTAACAAATACCAATTAAAAAACATCAGAGTAAATTTTGACTCCCAAGTTGTGCAGAGTTATGATGATTTCATGTTTAATCATTTTTGCCACTTAAGTTTAAATGATTATAAATACCTGGAATTTTTTTCTCTATTAGCTCAAATGAAAAGAGACATTATGGAACTTTTTTTAAAGCAAGGCATTTCTTGGAAACTACTTGGTTCCAGATAATTGCTGATCTTGGTTGCTTGAACTCACTTTTGGGAAAACACCTGTTTTTTGACTGAGTTTTAAGTCAGTTCCGTTTGAAAAGCATCTAGTAGACTCGGACTTTCATTTGGAGGAAGCCTACCAGAGAACAAGTAATTTAGCCTGGGTCTCTATTTCTGAAGCACCTTTGTAATGAATTGAGTGTGTGAAACCTGACTGCCCTCTTGAAGAGCAACTGAAGAAATCTTGAAAATGTATTTCCTGAGCAAGCTGCTTCTGCCAAGATCCCAGAGACAACTGCCAAAATTTGGTGTCACTCACCTACGTAGAATGTCAGGCCAATAGCCATCTGTACATTTCAAAGCTTATGCTTTCATCTTCAAGAAAAAAGACTTACTGACCAAAATATGTTTTTCCCAAAATGACAGTGTGCATCTCTATATAGAGAATATGAATTATTCCCTTTACTGTGGGTGTATGTGGGCGTGTGTGTGTGTGGGCGTGTGTGGTTATTTAGCGTGGTTAATCTTTATATTTGCATATCTCAAACAAAGTCCATCGACCATGTTTGCATCGTCTTTGATGAAGTTCTGTTTCATAATAAATCTACTTTTGTGTTCATTTAAGTATAATACACATACAGCATATGATTGGCCATATCAGGAACCAGGTAAAACAATTAAAATTGCGTTGTGCCCTGTGAAGTAGTGGAGTTAACAAAAGACAATGCAGTCTGCTCATCCCTGTCAGAACAGCAGATGGATGCCAAAGACAAATAAAAACCTGCTTTACTTCGCTCATGTAATTTTATCCACTGATTCAGAAGTTACCTGACACTTCTCTAGCCAGTACTATGCCTGCAGCCAGCATTCACTAGTGGGTTTGGACCGTGTGGGATATGTTTAACCTACAGTGAAAACAGTTATGCATCATATCATCAGGATACAACTTTGCCATGTAGTTTATCACAAACATACATCCCCCATGCCCCCTTTGACCTCACTTTTGAGGTAACCAGTCATCCCTTGCCTGAATTATGCTGGAGTGGAAGGAATGGGTTGGAAACATTGTAAAACCCTGCCCTCCCCCATCTTTAACCCCTGGCCTCATCCATTCCAGATAGGAGAGTGAGATTAAAATCAGATATCTTATTTGATGTTGGCTGATGATTAAGTACCAGTCAGATTACCAGAAAAACTATGCCCTCTACATATGAACAAGGAAGGAGGATTTTTAAATCTAGCTGAAACAAGCAGATGGTTTAATATCGGAATGATTAAAGCACGAACAACGTAGCACTTCTCTGGTCCTGCACTGAATCAAAGTTAATTTTAAATAATGCCTTCACCCTAAACTGAGCAAAACGTATCCTGCTATTTCTCTGCCAATGAGATTCTTGGATTTATTTTTGCACACTTTGCACTCATATGCATAAGGAATAGGCTGAGTTTGTCAAACTGATTTTTAAAAATTAATTCTTGGGATATTCATTCTGGGGTCAAAAAATGAAAGACTTCAGTTCCATCAATTGGGATAAGATTTGAACCATGAACTCAGCAATAAATTGCTGCAACACTTGATCCACCGGCACTATTTCAGTAGAGTTATGAGTCACACACATACTTGCCCAGATCTGTCTCAGAATAAATGGTAGACTTGAGAAGCTTGCAGCAAAGGATATGCATGCCTGTTACACTGTCACCATTTCATTTCTAAATAGTTTTTTCATTAACTTTAAAGGTGTAAAAATGTTTCAAATGAATGCTTTCAGAGACACAAAAGCAAACTTTCACATTTCCATTAAAGAATGCATGGAAGTAGAAAATGATTCCAGGCAACAACCATGGACACAGTTGAGATAGCAGGCAATTTTCTCATTTTGTGTGTTACCTGTTGGAAATTGGCCAAGATTAAATAGTTCACTCTATTTGTACAATGTAACAATGTTTGTGGAATAAAAATATAACTTTCATTATCCTAGTTGCTTAAATAACTCTTACTCTCTTATGGCAAATTCAGGCCAGCGGGTAAATTTCAGAATCTGGCTAATTCACAGTTCTCATCAAATTGATGAGTTGTAAATTCATTTGCGGCAATTATACATACAGACACCAAATTAGATAATAGGATTCAACATACAAGTCTACATCGTTTGGAAGCCTTGCCTTTTGGCATTACTAAT